GTTTTGTTTTGTGACATGTCTATTTAATTTCACAGAGAAATTACACAAAATAATAAAATCTAATAGGAATTAAGTAATTTTTAAAAATGTATTTTTTGATTTCAGAGAAGAATGGAGGCAGAGAGAGAGAGAGAGAGGAGAGAGAGAGAGAGAGAAAGACATCAACGATGAGAGAGAATTATTGATCAGCTACTTCCTGCACACCCTTACTGGGGATCGAGCCTGCAGGTGCCCTGACTGGTAATTGAACTGTGACCTCCTGGTCAACCACCAAGGTCAAACTCCTATTTTGCCTTTACCAGGTGGTTGAGGTTGACGCTCACCCACCAAGCCACAATGGCTGGGCAGAATTCAGTAATTTTTAAATAACTGATTTATAGAGCTATAACTTATTCCATACAACCAATCTATTTCAAGTGTACAATTCATTGGTTTTTAGTATACTCATATAATTGTGCAATCATTACCAAAATCAAGTATAGAACATTTTTATTACCCTTTACTCCCCAAACCCTGTATCCATTAGCAGTCATTCCCCTCTCCCCCTGCTCTCTCCAGGCAACACAAATCTACTTTTTGCTCGTATAGATGGCAAATTGTTCCTAAACCAGGACTTCCCTTGGGAGAAGATTCATATTTTAGGCTTGCATTAGTTACCTATTGCTACTGAACAAACTACCCCAAAATTAGCAGCTTAAAACAACATACATTTATTTTCTCACAGTTTTTATGGAGTAGGAGTTCAGGTGCAGCTGAACTGGGTCCTCTGCTTTTAGATGCCTCTCATGAGGCATCATGTGTTGGTCAAGGGTCTTACCTAAAGGCTCAATTAGGGAAGGATCTGCTTTCACTCTCACTTACCTTGTTGCTGGCAGGACTCGGTTCCTTGAGGATTGTTGGACCGAGGGCCTCATTTCCTTGCTGGTTGCTGAGTGGAAGCCACCCTCAGCTCCTTAGCCAGCGTGAGAATTTGCTAGGACTTACGATGGGGTTATGACCTGACAAATTCTTTGTAAGTTGAAAATGAGTGTAATACACTTAATCGACTGAACATCGTAGCTTAGCCTACCTTAAATGTGCTCAGAGAACTTACATTAGCCTGAAGTTGGGCAAATATTCTGAGTTTCATCTAAAGAGTAATTGCCTTTCTCTTCTCACCAGAAGCAGGGGACACAGATAGGCATTTTGTACACTTAATGAGATACAAAACAAAAACAAAAACAAAATCCAAAAACTGCCAGCAACGCTATATTGAATTGTTTATCCTTATGGTCATGGGGCTGGCTGGGAGGTGTGACTCACTGCCACTGCCCAGCACCACGAGAGAGTATTGTTCTGTATATCACTAGTCCAAGAAAGGATCAAAATTCAAAATTTGAAGTACAGTTTCTACTGGATGCATATCGCTTTTGCACCATCATAAAGTCTAAAAATTATTAAGTAGGACCATCATCAGTCAGAGACCATCTGTACTTGCCCACTATTCTGCAGTTTTGTGAATCTGGTTTCTATTGATCTAGTTCCTTTATCTGTGAGCTATTAGCACTGCTAATGACTCCTTTTTTTTCAAAGTTGTGTCTGAATACTTTACTACCTCAGAGCCAGCTAGCCAGCATACATCAAAAACTAGTTTAGATGTTAATCTCCACAAAGATCATAGAAGAGAAGTTAGGAACCCTCAAATTAGCCTTATCAAAATTGTTAATGGAACAGCCCATAAATTCTCCTATCTAACCCAGGGTTTTTCCAGTTTATCCTCATTTTGGCTATGACTAGAAGGTTATATGCGTTCTTTCTTAAAGGGTCTGCAGAATTTTAGTATCAGACATCCAGTGCCAACTAGCTTAAACAAGAAAAGGGAATTTGTGGTCTCACATAACTAGGAGAACTACTGGGGTGGCTCACAGGAGCAGAAGAACTGCAGAGCTCCAGGGCGCGCAACCAGTGGCTCCGTGCGGGCAGTTCTCTCTGAAGCTCTTGTTAACATCTCATCATCTTTGTGTCTCGCTTTCTTGGCCTCATTGTTCGCTATTGCAATCATGCCTCCATATGTGACTTTTAGTTTTTCAGCCAGAAGAGAAAGAAGGGTGGGGTCTGGTCTTTAGTCCCAATGCCAGGAAGACGGGATACTATGCTAGGCCAGGCCTGGGCCACATGGCCATATTCCTGTTGTCAGAAGAAGGACCACGAAAAAAAAACTACTGCTCAGTACAGGCTCTGGCTCAAGCCCGTTGTCAGTGCCCCCTACCCCAGGCATAGACAGATCAACCTTGTAAATGATCCCTGAAATATTCAAAATCCCCGAAAAGGAGAAGACAGTGCCATAGGCTATGGTAAGGCCCTGCCTGGGAACTGTGGCTTGGGGGAATTCTGTTTTGGGTTTTCACAGAGTCTTAGAATTCATTTCATTGCACCCAAGGTCCACTGTTTTACCTATTGGTAAAATAGAGTCACACTGAATTTTTCCAGTATTGATTGTACTTGTTCCCTAACTACTTGACAGTTGAAAAAAAGTTATTGATGGGGATGTGAAGGCCAGGGATGAATGGAAAATAGCTGCCCCAAGGTGGGGGAAGTGAGGGCATATGCTGGGGGGTAGGGGAGGCCAGGGGGAGGTCAATGGGGGGGGGGGGAAGAAGACATATGCACTACTATTTGTAATACTATATTTTTTTAAATATTTTTTATTGATTTTTTTACAGCGGGAAAGGAGAGGGATAGAGAATTAGAAACATTGATGAGAGAGAAACATCGATCAGCTGCCTCCTGCACTTCCCCTACTGGGGATGTGCCCGAAACCAGGGTACATGCCCTTGACCGGAATCGAACCTGGGACCCTTCAGTCTGCAGGCCGACGCTCTATCCACTGAACCAAACCGGCTAGGGCCTATTTGTAATACTTTAAACAACAAAATAAAAAATAATAAAATAAAGAAAAAAGAAAGAAAATAACTGCCCATTTCATGGGCTTATGACCAAGGTTAAACTACATTAACAAAAGAGGCCAGAGCCTCGCCAGCCTTGATCAGTGGTTGAAGGTCGACTTATGAACCAGGATGTCATGGTTCGATTCCTGGTCAGGCACATGCCTGGGTTGCGGGCTCAATCCCCAGTGGGGGGCGTCAGGAGGCAGCCGATCAATGATTCTCTCTCATCATTGACCTTTCTATCTCTCTCTCCCTCTCCCTCCTTGTATAGTTATAAAGCACCTCTATTATTGGAATTTTTTTCCAACATAAAATATTTTAAAAAGCGGCCAGAACTTTTTATTTACTACTACCCTCTGTGATTTATGGGCATATTGTTGACTTTTGTTTCTAACCTTTCAAGTAAGGAATATTTGACAAGTTTATGAAATTCACATGTATTCAGAGACTCATTAATCTTAGTGCCAGGGTAAGGCTTGTTTTTAGACCCATGGGATCTTGGATCTTGATCTTGGATTGAGATCAAGATCAGTCAGACTTGACTTTTAGAAGAAGTAATGTTGTGCTCCCTTTAAATATGTATATTGACACTGGAGTAATCCTACTAATTCTTTCAAGGAAGTACTACAGTGGGGTCTCTGTAGGGAACTCCTCTCGGTCTAGGACCCTTCACAGTTGCTTGGGGATGTACTTACAGCTGATCACTTGTTCTTTGGTGGTTCTTTATGGAGGGCCCTGACTGTGCTAAGTGATAGAAGCAATTGTGTAGGATAATCTGCCTGATCCTACATACTTAGAGCTGATTTAGGGTTTTACCCCAAGTAAGGAAACAGCTCACTTCTAAATTTAGATTGGGATCCAGTATTAAGGATGGCAGTATAGAGAAGATAAAACCTACTTGATATCTCCCAGCAGCCAAGGGGCATGTAGAGGGTGGGAACTTGGTTCTTGGTTTAGACAGACTTGGGTTTGACTCTTAGCAAAGACACCCCCTAGCTTTGTGACATTGGGAAATTAGTTCACTTCTTTAAGCCTCTGTTTTCTCATCTGTAAAATGGGACTGATACAAACCCAAAGGGATTGTTTGATGTGTTTTAATAAGATAATCCAAGGAAGACATTTAGCACTGTATGGGCACATTGCTTGAGAATCACTGTGAAAAATTGTAATAACCTTAGGAATCATGATTTTTTGGTCCCTGTGTGTCGTCTTTCCATCATGCACTTATGACCTTTCCCAAGTCTCCATACACAGAGCAAACCACCACTACCACCTGAGGGCAGGGCATGAGGTCTTCAGCAGAGACTTTAGAACCAGGGTGACATGCAGGATTTACATGCAGGATTCAATTCTCAGAGATCCAGTTCCTCAGCTGCAAAGTGAGACAGTAACACAGGTTGTGAGGGTTAGAGATGATAATGAGCTTTTAAAAAATTGGTTGGCATTTGAAAAATTCCTTATCTGGCCATCTCTGTGAGTCCAGGCCATGGTGGCGGTTTAAGTGAGGATCTCTAGAAGACAAATCTTAGCTGTCCCTGATGTCAGTGTTTTCCTACTAGCCCTGAGCCAGACTTCATTGCTTTCAGTTCTGGCCTGCATGATTTCCTTCAAACCAAGGTCGCTGGAGCCATGATAATGGGCACTGACACTTGGAAATATGCTCTTCAGATAACTCATCCTGGCATGATTGCCAATTAAGAGGCAACAGAGAGATCACTGTCAGCCCCACTGAGGGGGGATGTGTAAGACTGAACTACAAATGCACACTAATATGGTTGTGATTTTGCATCAAGACTGGCAAGAGACATTAGCAAAGAAAAGATTTGTTTGATATAGAAAAAATAATGTTCAAAGGTCAAAGTTTCTTGAGGAAGGTTCTCTTCGCTTCTGTCTGGTACCGGAAAGCTACAAATCAATAAAACGTCTGCGTTTTCCCAAGTTATTCATTCTTCGTATCGCAGATTCTTCCCCTGACACCACTGCACATGAGTCCCTGTTCAGGAGAAGAAAAGCATGGGGATGTTTAAAAGCTCTGTGCCATCTGCTGACATTGTCCCTGCTTGTGCCTTGCAGCCTACTTCTGCTTCCTCCTGACTGCTCTGGGTGTGACAGCTGGTGCCCATCGCTTGTGGAGCCACAGGTCCTACAAGGCCAAGCTGCCTCTGAGAATATTTCTGGCTGCTGCCAACTCCATGGCTTTCCAGGTAGGGATGGTGCACATTCCTCCACACACATTCTAGAGTCTAGACTCAGTGCTCTGACCCCAAGCACTCCCTGCCTCTCCCGAGTTTTAGCTCCTTGGAGCTTTACATACTGTAAAATGTCACCTGAGGACTGCGTGGCTCAAGACATGCTGAACCACAGAGGAGGAAGGAGATACCTTCCTCCAGAGTCCAAGCCCTCCATATGCCCCGAAACCCTCTATTTTTGTCTAGCTCTAATGAGAGCCAAGTTCCGTGTTGAGTATGCTATGTACATATTGCATTTGATCCTCCCAGTAACCCCATGCATTAGGTGCTGTGTGTTCCTGTTTTACAGATGAGGAAACTAAGGCTTAACAAAGTTAAAGAACGAATCTCAGGGAAGGTGGGGGAGGGTGGATGGGTGGGAAATAATCAACTAAAGACCTTGTATGCATATATGCAGAACCCACGGACACAGACAATAGGGTGCTGAAGGCCTGGGGTGGGGGGTGGGGGTGGGGGGCAAGGGGCAGGTTGGACGGGGCCAATGGGGGGGGGGGGAGGAGACATATGTAATACTTTCAACAATAAAGAATTATTTAAAAAACCAAAAAGAATGTAGCCAAATTATATGACTGAAAAATGGAACATCTAGAGTAAGCAAATTCGGGTCTGATACAAAGCCATTACTCCTACAAAATATACTTTTGAGGTCCCCCTCTAAGTTTGTAGTGGAAAGTCCATTCAATATGGAGTCGAAATACTCAGGATTTGAGTCTGCTGGTTGCTAGTTGTGTATCACTTACTCATCTCCAGTTTCTTCATCTGTAAAAATATGAATGTGACTTCACTCCCAGAGCTGTTACAAAACCATTGAAAATTTCAAGGAGCTATAACAATGTAAGAGAGCGTCACTTACACTGCCCTGGGATTGGGCCGTCATTCTCAGGACTGTGCCAGTCCTAGGCTGTTTCCCACCAGCGGGGCCACTTTCTGAACTGCTGGAAGTTTGGATGGATCACGGATCTCTGTTTTCCAGTTCCTCCTCTGATCCAGGCAGGGTGAGTGGAACAACCTGTTCTCAAAGTCTCTGCCCGTATATGAGTGCAGGTGATTCCAGACCCATTGAATTTTCACCCATTGGGAAGAAATGGCAATTCCCCAAACTGCGTTAGGATCCAAGGAAGCAAGTGACCCAGAAGCCGCTCTGTGACTTCAGCCACGCACGTCGCATGGCCACCTCTGCAATGGGCCTCCCATCCCTGTAAGACAGCCTGACCTTCAGCATTTCTCTGCATTGCTCTTGTGTCTAAGAGTCTGAATCCCTATTTAAGGCTTCCCTCCTACAGTTGGAGCATTCGTAAAGCAAATAGGATCTAACACAATAGATCGCGTAGGGAGCACAATTTGTATTCTGAACACCTACTGGTTATAATTCAAGCACCGTCGGGAATTAGAACCGCGGTTCTCGGGTAGAAGCTGTTGGGCACAAAGGAGTGGTTGGCAGCTTCTTGGTTTTATGTTTTGTTCACCTCTGGCATCATGAACTGCGCTGCACTTTGTTTTGACTTCAACCATCTTAGTTCAGTGTTGTGCTCTTTCATCGTAACAGTGAGTTATAATAATAATAATTTAGAAACTCATTGATTCAGGTCTTAGATGCTATTTAGGCCTTAACTCAGTAATTTTCATTTATTTTGTTTAAGCAGCTTATTATTTTTAGCCTCCAATTATACACTCATATAAAGCACCTCTGTTATTGGATTTTCCCCCCAACATAAATAACTTGAAGTTGAGAGCCTAAACCTCTTTCCCACTGAAACTATTTGTTTGTAACTCAGTTTTTTAGAATCTAAGTTTCCTTAATAAAACGTCCCATAATGGAACATCACATGGTGATTTTAAATTTACTTTAGGGAGAAGGTTCATTGTAAGCCCAGGTTCTGGAATAAGTTCTCGGCTCTGCCATTTGCTATATGTGGGCCTTTGTACAGGTGTCTGTTTCTTTAAATGCAGAGGGATCAGGGTAATAATACCTACCTCACAGAGTTGTTGGGAGGATGGAATAATGAACAAAAAAATGCCCAGATTATAGTAGCACTCAGAGAATATCCTTACCCCTCTTCTTTGTTAGAATTGGCACACCATCTCATTCATTTCTGTATTTTAGTGCCTATCCTATGGAAAACCCTCAATGATTGTTTGTTAAATGAATGAGTAGTTTTTAAAAATATTTTTAGAAATCATCAAATGGGAGCCGTGCCTGCGTGTCTCAGGGCCACATTTGTGGTGGATTTTTTTCATTTAACAGGTATTTATTGAGCACCTACTGTGTGGCAGCCACTGAGCTAAGCCACAGTGGGTCTAATGGTTAGCAAACACACAGTCCTTGCCTTCATGGAGCCCTCTATCTAGGGGGATATTAGAATTTCCATACTTTCCCAGTGGAAATGTCAGTGCTCCATGGGTCTGGGGTTTTATAACAATGTCACTTAGGCCAAGTGAGAGGTACTTGTAAGATCAGCAAAGGGCCAGCTCCCATACAGTGCATAACTGTGTCAGAGGAAAAGAATGCAGTCGATCCACACCACTTAACCATAGGAACAGAACCACCTGGGAAAGTAAAAAAATGTGCTGTGATCTGCCAGTCTAGGGTATTGACCTATAGCTCAGAGTCATTGATTTAGTTTCCCTTTGATGCCCCCCTGGATTTTTAAAGATAGTTTCAAGGGCTCTCTTCTGCTTTCTTCCATCAAAATGGTCAAGCCTTTGGCCAAAATGGACAATGCCATGGTCATCTCTGAGGATCAGCAGGGCTTTTTCTAGATGCTACACACAAGATCTTGATCATCAAAAACAATCTTCTTAAAATTGGAACTTAAACATTTGAAATTCCCTTTTCTCTTTCTTTCGTACAGAATGTATGTACTGGGCAGGGGACTCTAGTGAGAAAGGTGGAGGTACTTTTAGTCTGAAAAGATGTCTTTCCACTGATGTCTTTGGGTTTTCCTAGAGACTTCTTCTTAAATAGAGATTAAGGCCTTCAGTCCTTTCATTTGAAATCCCGTTATCATGCAGGAGCCCCGTTGATGTGGAGATAAGGGGAAGCCTCCTGTAGCCCTATGATTGGGTTTCAGTCGTGGTGGTGAGCCCGAGTTGAGTATTTCCCTCCCCACGGTCAGTCAGGCTTTGGTAAAGCCCAGTGGAGTGGGCTCTGGTAAAATAGTTTCTCTTGAGAACAGACCTCACTAAGGAAAATAGAGAGCTTTGTGCAGAGCTGACATTTCAAAGCAGTTACTTTTTTCCTTTTCCTGCTAGAAGAGCAAGGGAATTTTTCCAGCTACTCATGGTGAGAACCTGGTAGGGCCCTTAGAGCTAAAATTCATGAACATGTGGAGCCCCCTAGGACCGAGCCCTCTAGGAGTTTTAAATTATCAAGCTTGTCCACAATAAGCCTCCAGTAATTCATCAATTACACTTTAAAGTATTCCTGCCAGTTCTAGCTTTTGCTCCTGGGCGTCTGCTTCCAGTAGGCTGTGATTCTCTGTAGCTGCCTGTTTGTCTCCCTAGTTTTGGGGGCAGCAGTTTATCTGTGATCTTAATTCTCTGATAGACCTAAAAATTGTTGATTTTCAGTTTGTTTGGCTTTTTTTTTTCTTGTTGCAAGGATAGGAGTGACTACTTCCAAGCTCTCTGCACATCAGACCAGAAAGTGGAAGTTACAGTGTGATTTGTGAATATGTCAAGTAAATCACATGGCCATGGAACGTGAACTTTGGCAGGCATATAACAACAAAAACAACACGTTTTGAGTGCTAACCACTTGCCAACATTTCATGAAGTACATCAGCCATCTGACAATACCCCTACAAAGTAGATATTGTATTGTCCTCATTCAATAGGAGACAAAATGGAGAAAGAAAGAGGCCATGTAACCTGACCAAGGACATACAGATTTGATGACAGAAGGGGGATCCAAGTGCAGATGGCTTGACTCCAGAGTCACTTCTCACTGCTGCTCTAAGGCCTCTCCCAGGGTCCAGGTGTACCTGTACCCTTTCATTTTGCAAATACACCTGGGCTAAGCATTGTTCCCTGCAGTGGAGAACAAGACGGGTGAGGTGCCTGTCCTCAGAACGTGTATCTTATAGTGGGAGAGAGGAGCAAATAAATAAGTAAACAGAAGAATATGAAGAATTTCAACACGGCAGTGTGACAGAGAGTGACAGGGAGGCAGCTTCTTTAGAGAGGATGGTCCGAGAAGACCTCGCTGAGGAGGTGACAGTAGAGCTGAGACCTGAGGGAGAGAACAGGTAGGGGGAGAGCATTCCAGACAGAAGGAGGAGCCAAAGCAAAGTGGGAACAAGTATGGTGCGTCCAACGAAGAGAAGAATGGCCAGTATGGCTGGTTCACTTGAGTGCAGGAGAGGGTCTTAGAAGAGGTCAGAGAGGGGGACAGGGGCCACCCCAGTGCAGAGCTCTGTTGGGCATAGCAAGGAGGTTGGATATTGTTGTAAAAGCCATGGAAAAGCACTGCAAGATTTTAGGGGTGTGACATGGCCTAATGTATTTCCATGGCACAAGGAGGACTCAGACCACGGTCATGAGAGCCCACAGACGTTTGTGCCAGATCAGGATCATAGACCAGCCCCACGCTGGGTCTCTGAGTGTGCACATCGAGGAGGGAAACTTGATGATGATGAGGCGAGGCTCTGGAGGACGGCTGGTGTTCGCAGCAGTGGGAGCAGTTGGTTAGGAGGACAAAAACCTGGGCAGGACACTACTGCCGGCTCGAGAACCCTGAACCTTACGTGGCTCTCTGTGCAGGTTCTAACGCTCACTGCAGACATCCTGTTTCAGCACTTGCCGCCTTTTCTAACCACAAGCCTAGCTTCGGATGCACAGCCTTTCTTGGGCACGTCAGAAACAGGCTTGCCTTTCTCTTTTCAGGCTGGGTGGATGCTGTCGGTTTCCTCCTCCCGTGTAAACAGGCAGCAGCAGAAGTGGTCCTGACCTCGAGG